TAAGCTAACCTCTGACCCCCTGATATGCCTGTGGTGTGTCTAGAATGAGATAATGAAAATATTATCATCCAGAAACGCAAAGACATCATGGTAGCAGGGCGCAAAATGGCCTCTGGAGGTCTCCTATCAGTCCTCACCAGCCTCACATAGGGATTTGATGCTACCTACGCTCATTATCTAAAAGAGCTGTTAAAGTTGGAGCACTTTAGGCCAATCATTTAATATGCATTGGGCGCTTTTTCATTAATTTTAGATAAGTCCACAGTGTCAAAAAGTAGCTTATCAAAATATTAGTAAGAAACGTTATGTTCTGAGGCAGCAGACCTAGATCACTTTGTATGTGGAATTTTTGTCTTCAATATAAATCTGATTAGAAGAAAAAAATGTCAAATGGAAATGCTAGGAATGGCAGAAAATAGAATACGGCAATATGTTAGTTTGAAAATTAGCTTGGAGTCATTTTATGGAGATGTAAAATGCCCAGTTAATAAGTTTAAACATTTCATTTAATTAAATAAAAATTAAATCCATTTAATTTTCTATTAGAGTGACCAAAAGCTTCTGAACAAAAGTAAATTTTAAGTAATTAATTATGAAGAACAATTCAGCCATAGCATATAGAACGAGTTATAATAGGAAAAGGCTGACATTTAGTAAGAGGGAAAGGAATGGATGGTAACTATAAATCACAATGTACAAAATATACAATGTATAGTATTCGAACATACACGTTACAAAGAATTATAGAAACAAAATGTCAGGGTCAGACAGAATCTCAGAAGTCATGTAAACCACTCTTTCGTTGTAAAAATAAGCCAACTATGGCTCACAGAAACTTGGACAAAGTTACACAATTGGATGTTTTCTGAGCTAGAACTTGAATTGAGCGTTCTTAATTCTAAAGCCTGAAACTTGTTTGGTAGCAAAAATGTGTGTTTTTTCTCTTAACCCTTTGTATGCCATAAGTGTCTATAGACGCAAGCAAATTGATTTTTTAAATCAAATTCAAAATATCATGGCGTGTGGGGATGGTTTCCGTTTTGGACGTGTGACAGTTAACTGTCAATGAATGCTGACAAATTACCCTATGAATTAAAGGTAGAAATGAATAAGCCAAAGAAAAAACCTGAAATTCCCAGTCTCCAAAAGAAAATGATCTATTACCAGAAATAGAAGAATTCTTGAGACGGAGTGATAGTAACTCGAACGTCAATTTTAGAGGGGAAGTAATTTGCAAAGTAATTGTACAGTATTAATATTTCACTATTCGTTGACTAAGTAGTTATTTCAATACTATTTATAATACCCAGGCACTCTACTAGGTATTAGAAGTTTTGGTCAAAGCTATAGCAATGATAGGATATAGGACAACATATGGTCACAAAGTTGAGGACATGAGAAGTAGAGAAGGAGATAAGAACAGTCAAGGGATAGAATGAGAATCAGAATAGTACTTCATTAGAGAAACAAAAGAAAAAGAAGAAGGAATTAGCCCTGTTGGTATGGCTTAGTATCACCCTGTACACTAAAAGGTCATGGGTTTGATTCCCAGTCAGGACACATATCAAAGTTATAGGTTTGATCCCTAGTGTGGTTGCATGCAGGAGGTGGCTGATCAATACTTATCTCTCATATTGAAGTTTCTCTCCCTCTCAAAGACACAAAATGAAAGAGAGAGGGAGAGGGACAGGGAGGAGTAGAAGGAGAAGGAGGAGGAGGAGGAGAAGGGAATCTAATTCTAAATTTCTATATGTAGCCTAAACTTCTTTAAAGCTTTCAAGATATTTATTTAACTCCATTGATTCCTCTTTTAAAACCTCCAATTCCACCTTTGCTAAGGTAGCACATGCACCCAGTTACCCAGCTATGAGCCTGGCAGTGTTTCTTGACTCTCTGCTCCCCCTCAACACCCAAATCCTTTTATTTACCAAGTATTATAGATTTTAATTGATTAAATCTCTTGTCTCTCTGTATCTCCACTGACTATCTTACCTGGTTCAGGCCTTCAAAGAGTTTCTGTTGTCCTAGACCCGTGGTTTGCCTAGGCCACTGGTCGGCAAACCGCGGCTCGCGAACCACACATGCGGCTTTGGCCCCTTGAGTGTGGCTCTTCCACAAAATACCACATGCGGGCGCGCACGTACAGTGTGATTGAAACTTCGTGGCCCATGCGCAGAAGTTGGTATTTTGTGGAAGAGCCATAGTCAATGGCCAAAGAGCCGAATGTGGCTCGCGAGCCGTAATTTGCCGACCACTGTCCTAGACCATGGCAAATATCCCAATACATACTTCTCTTTTCTATAACCTTCACTTTCAAATCAACCATCCAGAGTCTCTAGAGTATTATTCCACAGTGAATATATTATAGCCATCCCCTAATTAAAACTCCTCAAAGAACCCGTATATGTAAGCAAGTAAAGAAAGTGGAGACTAAGGGAAAGCTTAAGGGTCAAGAGGGAAGAGTTCCTCTATTAACATAAAAGAACTGATGAGGTAGAAGTAACTCAACAAAAGAATGAAAAATAACCATGTGGAGTTCTGGTCCAAGAGTGGAGTATTTGAATTAAGATTTCAAAGGCAGAACAATTTGAAGTGATCATAAGACTCAGAGTACGGTCATGGTGGTGACTGACTGAAGTAGAATTGGAGGTAAAGTCCACTCCATCGTATTTGAAACAGTCGAATTAGTAAGTGGGTGCTGAATAGATCATTCAGATGAATTCTAACATCAAAGTGATGAAGAGGACTAAAGCCAGGCACTAAAAAATTCAGTAATTAAAACAGCATAACCAAGAGATCAACAGATGATGCTAACATGAAGGGCAATGGGCGGTTGTGCAAAGTTGCATTACATATAAAGGTACCGAAGTTTAAAACAAGAAGCAGAGACTGTTATGGTAATACATGTAGGAGAATGGGGAGATGATTAGATAAGCTTTCATATCTTCAGTAATCCCAGAATCTCAGTGCACTAAGATGGGGTCAGAGGAATTGAGTAACTCGGAAAGTCAGCAGAGTGAAAACAAATGATCCAAGTCCCTTTTTTAAAAAAAGCAAAGTAAGGGAATGTAAAATGAAAAATTCGGTATCGCTTTTCTTACTTCTGTGGAAGAGGCACACAAATGCAACAGGCAAGGAGCCTGCAGAAGATGCAAGGTGTATAAGCATATATTCTGGTTCTCAGTTTGGGTACTAGATTTGTGGTTGTTCATTTCATTATGTTTTGAAATGTGCACACATTCTTTTCTATGTATCAGACTGATAATGATAAAAGGTAACACTTTAAAAAGCAACGAAAGAACTTCAGTCTTACAAAATCTACCCAATCTGTTTTATGCATAGACTCACAAATTTGAATAATTTAAATGACAGCAAACCTTACAGTAAGCTATTTGAAAACTTGTTTTTTAAAACTGATTTTCCTATCTGTGTTTTACTTTAATTTGGTTTCCTGACACAAACCAAATCTCATGGCACACAAAAAACAATTCAGAAATGCAACCTTCAAAATAGTCCAGCTAGGTTGAGAATTGTTAAGTACTGTGAAATTAATAACCAACCAAGAAATGATCAAGAACTAATTCTATCCATGTTGATTTATTGAACGAATAAGTAATATGAGGCAGACAATCTATGTATTGATAATTAAAATTAGGAAAATATAGAATGTAAAAAATATGGTGCATGGTTTTAACTTACAGTGAAATGAAGATACCAGAGTAAGTGGAATAAGCCTATAATCAGTAATGTCTCATTCATGTCACCTACCTTAAGAAAGGTCTTGGTTAATTATGAGGACAGTTATGTAACCACGTTTCCATATATTTTTAAGATAAATGTATAACCATTGCAACCAAAAAATAGTCTAAATGTTACATACAGCAATATTAAAAATAAAAGATATCACAACAAATTAAGAATTATTTAGTATTAAAGCAAAATAAAAGAAAAGGGACTGAGAAAATGCAAAGAAAATTAAATATAGTAATAATCCCTATAATAAACTGAAAGGCATTCAATTGTAATTACATTTACTGAAAGACATCACAAAACTTGAACTATTAGGAATATATTGTTAATGGTATCTTTTATGTTTCCTTCCACATTTATCTACATCATTTCAATCCTTAGAAATTTACTCATTCAATAATTTTTATTAACTCTTAATTATCTAAATTATTATGAACTATTTTATTAACTCTTGATTAACTAAATTAATAGGATAAAAGCGGTCACACATAACTCAAATCACTTTGAAATGATAGAACACGGCATCTAATTCCTTATCTAAACTAGCTGAACCCACCATATTATCATTGCCATTCTCTTCTCTGCCTATAGGACCTCAAAATGTTGTCCTTGGTCTGGCTCAAATCCCTGAAGCTCCATATAGGCCTTCTTTCCCATGACATTTCCCTCCAATATAAGGAGAATGGTGGTAGATGAGAAATGAACAAAGATTTCCCCACTGACCCAGTATTCTCCATAGATCTAAAATCATCTACAAGATGACCAAGGAGCAGATTACAGCCACCTCTGACAAGGGAACCATAAACCAATCAGTTCATCCTCAGCACTTCAGGGCTGACCCCTCCACTGTTGAGGGAGGGAAGCGGGTTGTTGAGATATGAACACACCAACCAGTGCTGTCTAAATACCTAATTATGAACTCTGTTGGGGAAGGTGAGCAGCCACATGTAATTAAACTGTATTCGATCCTTCTAGGAAATCCAGAAATAACTGTAGTTCTTGGAAAACTAAAATTTTAGAATCAGCAAAGATAGGATCCCAACTCATTAAAAGGAAGCAGCATTTTTGACATGTTACTACAAAGAGCTTATATTGCTCTATTTTCTATTATTTTATAAGGATGATGTACCCATATTTCATTATAACCATACGTATATGTAAATGAATTAGAAGTAGAAATGAATTATATCATATGAATAGACAGGCACATGCAATTCTACGAACAGACTCAATTGTAAGAAAAAGTATACCTGCCATCCCTGTGATGACGGTCAGTGGTCTGACTGTATCTGGAGCGAGGTAGAGTAAGAAAGTGGCTGCAAGCGCGCAGAAACAAGAACATAAATGAGACCCAGGAAAGAAATGAAAAGGTATAGTTTAATTTAAAAAGTGAGATTAAAAAAAGGCAAGCAGATAGTAAGCAAAGCAAATGGAAATTGTTACTGGAAAGCTTGCTCTTTCCACCCAATGTCCATGTGGTATGTCAGCGATAAAGGTTAAAATATTCTAAATATTCTAAAATAAAACACAACAAAAGATAACAAATTGAGATCTAAATAAATCATATTCCAAAATAAATTCTTGTCAGTTACTACTCAAACATCTTCAGCACAATCTGTAAAATGTTACATAATACAGATGCTTTCCAATTTTGGGGGAGGAAAGGTGAGGAGAGAAAAATAATAAAATAACCAGAAAGCTCAGAAGAAAATAATAAAAGAGGCAAATTTTAATACTTGCACATACTCAGGAGATTTTATAAGGCAATTATTTCTTCTTCAACAATTTAATAACTTAAAAGGCTTTCTTTATAAATTCAATTTAGTAAAGAACAAACTGATTCAAATCATTTCTGATTAACTGTATTTATTAAATGTATAGGATATTATCCATTTTTCCATTCACTATTTTTATTATGTTTATTGCATGCTATTGACTCTGCTGCATTCCATGCCTCATGTCCACCATAGTCATCAAAGCACACACGGATCTTTCAGCCCTCTGTGATTCTCTTCTTTGCACTAATTGAAAATGTTCCTATTTTCTTAAAACCTTTATTGTTATTTTCTTAAAACACTTAATTTTGGCAGATGATCACTGCCTTTCAGTAAAAAATAGAAACCAACCTTGAACTCTCTCAACTTCCATTCTTCTACCTCTAAATATAGAGCTAACATATATTTATATTTTCACTTGTCCTTTTCTTCTTCTTCACCAAAGGAAGAAATTCCTCTACTTGTAATTCTACTTCCCACATGACCTTGCTTCATTCATTATTCTCTAGAGGCTTAGCGCACAGATTCGTGCACGGGTGGGGTCCCTCAGCCTGGCCTCTGCCCACTCGCAATCCAGGACCCTGAGGGATGTAGCAGTGCGGAAGTGGCAGGTGGCTGGGGCTGGGCGCAGCTCCACTGCTGCTCATCCAGGCCCTGCTGCGCCTGCCACAACCCCTCAGTAGCACTGCCTGCCGTGGAGGCCGGAGCAGCTCCCACTACCACAGCTGCGGTCGACAGCAGTGAGCCTGGCTTCTCACTGCGTGGGCGCTCCCACTATGGGAGTGCACTGACCACCAGGGGGCAGCTCCTGTGTTGAGCATCTGTCCCCTGGTAGTCAGTGTGCTTCATAGCGACCAGTCGACCAGTTACTTAGGCTTTTATATAGAGAGATTACATTCCTCAAAGTGCACTTAATCCCAAAAATAAAAGCTTAACTGAACTTGCCTTCCTTACAAGCCAATTGCAACATCTCTCTGACTTTCCTTGACTTTTCCCTCCACAGTTCTCTTGAAGTTATCCTGTGAATGTTATCTTTGAAATTCTAGAAAAATCCTTTAATCTTTTCTTAATCTTCATCATACTGCATGTGCCTATGGCATTCGATAGACATTGATTTTCAACCTCTATTTCTTGACACTCCTCTCTTGGTTTCTCAACACTATTTTTCTGGCTATAAAAATCACATCTATTTAACACTTAACTATGTGCCAAGTACTCCGTTAAACTTTGTCTACTTTATCCCATTTACTTCTCATAAAAACTCTTTGAGGTGGGTTCTAGTATTCCCACCGACAGAGACACGGCTGAGTGCCTGCCCATAGCCATATGGTAAGTAACTGGACTGGGTTTCAAGCTTAGGGCTTCCTTAATCTTCTATTCAGGATCTTAACATTTGTACGTATGGCTTGGTCTCTTGCTTCTTTATTCATTTCATCTACTAGATTCCCTTTTTCTGTATTCTTAGGTGCAGTGGTTTCCCAAGATTTAATCCTTGACCATCCTTATATTCCAAAAAAAAAAAATTCTCTATATCAGTGGTTCTCAACCTGTGGGTCACGACCCCTTTGGGGGTCGAACGACCCTTTCACAGGGTCGCCTAAGAAAACACATAGATAATTACATATTGTTTTTGTGATTCATCACGATGCTTTAATTATGTTCAATTTGTAACAATGAAAATACATCCTGCATATCAGATATTTACATGACGATTCATAACAGTAGCAACATTACAGTTATGAAGTCGCAGCGAAAATAATTTTATGGTTGGGGGTCACCACAACATGAGGAACTGTATGAAAGGGTCTCGGCATTAGGAAGGTTGAGAACCACTGCTCTATATAATATTACTTGTTCTTAGGGTGCAAACTCCTAGCTTTAGTCTTAATTTTTCTTTGGGTTTCACAACGCATTTCCAGCGGCTTTCTGGGCTCTTCACAGGGCTGCTTAAATGTCCTGCAGGCTCTTCAGAAAAACACATGCTAATTGTGCGGCTTGACCCAGTCATTTGCCTATTCGGACATCTGGTGCTACACCAGACACACAAAGAGGATTACAAAGTGAGAATATAAGATATAACACCCTTGAGTAACGAATAGCCTTGGTTTTTGTAAAGCTAAGTTTCCAACCATCTCAATTTAATACAAAACTCTCTGCTTATCTATAATATTGTTGTTTTGCTACTCCATAGTTCCTAAAATATACTCAGTATGATTTAACTATGTTAAAATGTGTTCCTTAAATGTAATAAATAAAATGTTGCATTGTTTTTGTAAAATGAATTCTCTTTTCATTTACTTACTCTATATTATCAAACTTTCAGAGATGTGTTTCACCTCATAGTTGATAACTAAAAGGGCCCCAACGGCTCTAATAGGTATGGGCTTGACACTTTCTGCCAGCTCGCTGCCTAATAAAAAACCGAGAAGTGGTTCAAGAGTGTCAGGAATCTCAGAAACCCACATAGGAGGGTATTTTTCTTCTTAAAATATAAATGTATTAATTGAATTAATTGAAGTTTATGAATGAACATATCTGTTAATTATAGTTCTTTCTTATAATGCTAAAAGTATTGACAAAAAAAAAATTCTGAGAGGTCCTACATTAAATTACAGTGGTTGGGAGTAAGAGAAAGAAGAGTATTTGGCCCATTAACAGCTGTGGGCCTACTAAGAGACTGCTTACGTTCCTGACCGTACGCTGGAGCTTTGAATCAACGTCTGTGGCCACCACCAGAAGTCACAGCATCCTGCTTATGCCTGAACTTTCAGGACTGTTTCCCACAACCAATCAAAAGTAGTAAATATCACTTCCTTACTGACTGTGCGCCTATCCTAGAACTGCCCCACTCCACTTCCTCCCAACTTTCATCTTTCTTCTTCAAAACATAAAACCATCTGTTAATTCCAGGACGGCGAATGTGTTTGTTTTTTCCACCTAGACATGCTGCTGCTAGCTTGGACTTCACATGGCAGGACCTAGTCCGTTTCTGGATAGCATTTGGCTCAGTAAACCTTTTCTTTCAGAGATTTTGGCCATCAAAGTTTTTTGTTTGTTTATTTAACTCCATGTACCCAAAATATTCTGGCCTCTAGGATAAACAAAATTCTTACTGCAGGATATCACTGACGTGTTACAGAAATATTATCTAGTACTCCATACTTATTCTAATAGTAAATTAAGTCATGCAAACACATAAGCTCTTAAAATAATTTCTAACACTAAAGCTACATAGTTTTTCCCAGGAAAATTATGTTGTTAGTTGTAGCAGTTAACACTAGTTAACCAAAAAGCAATGATACAGAAATAGGGGATAGAGAGGCAGATGAAAGGTGCCTTTTGCAATTCATCATTTCAGCTAATACCCCTGCATTCAAGTCTCTAAATTATTCGTAAAGAACTTATTTTCTTTTCAAAACAAAATAGAATTTTGACTAAGGACAAAAGAGAAAGAGGTACAGAGCACTAAAGATCAAATCAAATTTTGATACATGATTTTTTTATGTTACCTATATATCTCCTTCTTATACCATTTAAGTTTAACCAGATGCTATAAATGAATGTCAAATAGCATCATTTCTCCCCCAATATACTGATGTAAAAGCCATTATCTTCCTGCATAACTTTCTAACACGTCCCCAAGTCCTTCATCCTTCATACTGGCTCTTTCGAACGCACATGTGTGTTCTGCCCCTGTATCTCTGTTCTTGTTCCCACCTGGATAAACGTGCTCATTTTTCAAGGTCCAACTCATGTCCTACATTCTCTACATAGCTTTTTAAAAAAACATATGAATTGACTGATTTCCCTTTTTTTCTGCTTAATTGATAAGCCCATAAAAATGTAAACTATTTGAAAGACAAAAGATACTTTAAACATGCTAAGGGGTAAGGCACATTTTCCGAGTATATACTATGCAACTGGAGGCACTGTGTCATTCAGTAGGCACAACAATTGGTACTACTATTATAATTATATAGATGAGGAAATCAAATTCCAAAGAGGTTAATTTCCCCAAAGATACACGGTTAGCAAGTGTAAAAAGCCTAAATTCAAACCCAATGCCTTTTGGTTTCAAATACCATGACAAAGTAATCAATAAAACACTGTCCTAGTCCACTGCATCAACCCTTACTGACAAGAAAGGTTAACACACCATGCAAAATACCTAAATTTACTTAATATTTCAAAGGAAATTTTCTTTTAGACTTTTTAATCAACCATGTGATTGCCCCGATAAAATGCTGTTGATGAATACTCACTGTAAGAGTTCTGGAGTACTCTTACCAATTAAATAATACACAAAAATTACAATGTTTTTACATTCATTCTATTAGAACCCATTTTTTAATATTATGCTAGAGTACATGGGTAATACTGTAGTTTTGATTCCTTGTGTTAATAAATAATGGTTGCACAGATAACTCAAAAATATTACAAATGGTTTTATAGTCCTACTTGAATGACATTCTATTTTACTTATTTCAAAAAGGATTTAAAACAGCTCATAATTAACAGTAATTATGATCTAGTAATAATATATGGCACTCGAAGAGAGTAATAAAACCACATAGATCAATTTCTCCAAACCTTTGAATTAGTTGAAAATTTTTGCTAAACTAGAAGACTATTAAAGTTATAAAGTGAACAAGAAAAATAACATTTCAATTATGACTATGTCAGGTAATAACCAAGGCTAAGTCAAATTTTTTGCCATTATTTTGCCTTAAAATATTAATAAAATATTATATGTTTGCATGATATTGACACCTTTTGTGTGTGAGTATAATTCTAGAAGCTAATTTTATTCCATCCTTCTTTGCAAGATTTAGACCAGATTGTCTTCAGAGAAAATATCAAGTCCATTTTTAATTATAAGAAGAACTTAACATAAACTTGAAGGATTTCAAGTCATTTCAGACTTTTTTGTCCCCTCATTTCCTTACATTTTCAATAAACAATGAGTTTGAATCACTATATAGTTTCCAGAAATAATCAAACACATTAAAATTTTATTACATGACAAAAGTAATCATTCACACACCCTCATAGGACTCCTTCCAACTCCTAATCATGCCAACATAGTTTATCTTTCATTCACTCTTATTGTACTTATAAACATAAATTTTTATAGGTAGCATACCTATAGTTACACCTAAAGACCTAAAAAACTATGAAAAAGTCAAACAAATAAAAGTAATATACTACACTAACTTTCATTCAACACTGATAAAGACTCTAATTTAATAACTTCTTAATTTCTTCTTAGGTCTCATACTCAAAAGCCAATACTTGCTTTACTCTATTAAAGAAAACATGTGCTAAAAAACAATGAAATTACAAGCATGAATTGAATATATAACCCTGTATGTAGACATAACAAATTTATGGATATTGACAGATACAGCTCGTATTAGTTGATTTAAATCCCCCAAGTATTTCTACTAAAATTAGTGTAGGATGCATACAAAAGGACTTCTGAGTTCCCTTGTTATTTTATCACAACATTCACTGAATGGTAAATTACGTTTTCTTTTCTTATTTCAAACACATTTGATAGTTTGGGGAAAATATCATAGCATTTTTTATTTTATAAACAACAAACCATGAATTAGAGTTAATCAATTTGCCTAATTAAAAAATGAGTAGTAATTAATGTATGTATTAATTGATTCCAAGTATGTCACATTTAATAGAGCAAATTCAGAGAATTCTTCCAAATACAGCAATCAACAGCATGATTCTTTACGATGCTTAAAAAGTTTGCTAAAGCCATGAGGAAGAACCTCTTCATGAATCAGTTTTTGTGTTTCCTAAACAAACCAGACTTATCTCATATATGAAAGTATATATAAAAGTATACAAAAGTATATATACTTATAATACCTAAAAGTATATAAAAGTCACATTGATTTCCCTATGAATGTAACAGACTAAAATCTATTGTCTCATGGAAGTATTTTTATAGATAATAATTAAAAGGTAAAAATAATAAAACACCTCATTTTCATTATGACTATCATTATAACCTCATGTGCAAATTTACTAACTTACTAATTTGATTTAACAAAGGTCCAGAATTGCAAGAGCAAGATGATTTATTTTTTCTTACTAAAGAAACTATTTGTGTTTTGTTTTGTTTTAGTTTTTGTTTTTAATGATGTGGGGGTCATAAGAATGAATGTAGGCATTGTGAAGAAAACAGGGTTTAAGAAATTTCAGAATGAAAACATTTAACAGTAACCCCTTTATCCTGAAGGCAGCGATTATAATACGTTAGAAGAGTATTTAATCATTGTCACCTGTCTCTGTCTGGAGAATAATGGTCATCCATGACACGATGTCTATCCATTCGGCTAATGGTATTATAATGGCCAGTAGTAGAGCGTGTCCCTCGAAGTCCCTGGTCCACATTCCGACTGAAATAGCAAGATCCATTAAATATATTAAAATCATAATCATGTACTATACTGACAAATGAGGTTTATTAATACATACAGTAGAAAAAGACAAACATTACTATCATGTCAAGTCCAAGGTTTTTGTTTTGTTTTAACTGATTAGTTGTACCTCTGGCTAATGGTATAAATGTCCACTGTAGGTAGACAGTGAAGTTAGGAGATTAGTTCTAGAACAGAGATATGACATAAAATCAAGATACTATGGATAAGGATAGCGATAGGATTATCAAAGCTATTAATACATGACTCTGAGATCTCTAGTAGTGATATTCAATGATACAAAAATACTGCTGGAAAAATTGATCAGTGTGGAGAAAATGAGTTCAGCATGTTGCTTATAGATAATATATTGCCAGATCCTATTTTAGGGATAATAATTGTTTTAAAAAACCTAAACTGAAATATTTCTAATTGATCATGATGATTTTTTAAGCTACTATTCTTGGTCTGGATCATCTATTTCCTTTTCATGATAGAATAAGCCTTTTATATAAGCTCCTAATCATATCACTCTATTGTGAAGTCGACCACATTTAAAAATTTACTTTTCAGAAAACTCAATAATTTTAGTTTCACTGACAAACTTAGTTAACTCAACATCTTCAAACATTTTAAACTATGTTTATGAAGTTAATATATTACATTTCCTTTTTAATTTCTTCAATGTCTAAACTTAAGTAAACATCTTAAGTACTTAATATCCTTATAAATTAAATAAGTTAAATTTATAAATACAAACCTCAAGTTCTCTTAGATGGTTCATACCATGCTTCAAATTAAGATTATGATTAAAAATTCCAAGTCTAAAATTAATTCAATTTTTCATTTATAAGAGGAACTATAATGTTCAAATTTTAAAATTCAAAAGATTTCCAATTTCTTCAATATTCAAGTATATAAGTTGTGAATTATGCACATATTAATGGCAAGCATATCATTTCCATGGCTCTAACTCTATTAAGCCTTTCAGTACTTACCTGGATTGATCAGAGTTTTCCACGAGGCGTAAGACCTGGAGCTACAGATTTACTAAGCCATCCCTCCCTTTAACTCTTCGCATGATGGTTCCTAATTTTAAAGTATCATCACATGTTTATTTTTTCCTGTTCCTTAAGTTATCAATATCTCTACCATTTATGAGTATAGTAAGTTGGTCATCACTACATCTGCTCAGTACTGATAAGTGATTTCAAGCTGGATCCTATTTATAATTTTGAACTCTTCCAATTAAACAAGATCTGGGTCTTCCAAAGTCATGAAGTAGACTATATTTTATTTTACTTTCATTATGTAGGTTATCCAATAGCATCTTTGTTTTTCCTGAAGTAACTTTTTCCACAAGAATTTATCATCTTTAGAGGTTATTCATGGTATCTTACCATAAGAAGGCTTATAATACCATCCTACAAATAAAATGTGTATGCTCTCTTACCTTTGTGGAGGAGGGACACTGGGTGACCATGATCTAGTCCTTCCTATAACATCTACTCGGTGAGGAGACCCTGATGGAGAACAGTGGTTGGATGACATCACTTGTTCTGGCACTGATAATGTTGAGCTTTGAAGATCTCGACCATTGTGTCGATAATCTAAAGGTGGAAAGATTAAGATGACAGTTACCTACACACGAAGTCCTTTTGTATTTTCTACTTTACTGAAAAACATAAAATGTTGGTGAAGCTGAAGCATTTGAATATTGCAAAGGTATGGTATAATACTAAGACATAATAATACTTTGTAAACACTTGAAAAAGAATGACAAATATTCAAATACATTCCTCAATGGATTATTAAATGATGCACTATTATACTCTTTACATAGGCAGAAAGAAAAATGTAGAAACAAGGATGATTTTTCTGATTTTGAAAAATAAGGAACCCAGGGCAAATACTTTGAATTATTCAGGTTTTCTAAACACTATTCAGTAATAGAAAAGAAGAAAAAAATATAGACAGTATTAACCCAAATAATGAAAGATTCCTATAAATTTCTTTTTCAAAAATACACTTCCTTTAACAGAATGGAAAAATAATAAAATGATCATATTTTTGCCACTTTGAAAATAGAAAATGAAAGAATTGAGATATATACCAAAAATGGCATCAAGATGAAGAAGTTCAAAACCTAAAGGAAATTTTTTAGGATAAAGAAAACTGGAAAAATCAATTATTAAAGGAATAGAATACAATTGGGGAGAAAATTGTTATTATTCCCTAGCAAGAGACTCTGAGAAATATTTTTCAAAGCCATTTCATTAAGGTTTAATTCACAAACTATAAAACATTTAAATTATTTTTGGCACTTTTAGTAAATTAATATATTGTTCACCCTTAGTGCAAAAATAAAAACTAAAAGATAGCCATGGAATTTTTAAAAAGTAATAGGTAACCTGATAGCATGTTAACTGATGTAACTCTAACAAAAATTGCCAAACAAAAATTCTTATCAATAATTGATGCAACTGTAGCATGTTTTACATGCAATAGAACTCATTTTGTTCAAGGTAAAATCAGTTGTACCCTTGAAATTAGTTAGGTTAATTTACCTTCAAGAAGAAGAGAAACATTTTTATAATATTAATGAGTACAGTATGATATGTTTTTCCCCAGAATTCATTTTTTTAAATGGCTAGTTACCTAAATTTTAAATCATCCAATAATTTATAATAATGAATTAGCAAATATTTTAAATGATAATGCCATAAGTTCAAAAGTAGCTGCAGCTGATACTTAACCATCACAACAACAATGAAAAAAAATTCAAAATACTTATTCTAGTATTGACATATTTGGGTATGTTGATGATCTCAAAAAGGTTTTCTTGTCTTTCACAGTGTTAGCACAGTATGTAAAAAAGTTTTAATTATACAATAATTCCTCAAAATTACAGAGAAATCCTTATTATTTAGTGGTTTAAAACAGGAAATTAGTAAGAATTCACTTATGTAAAATATTTCCACATGAATATTCAATCTAACAATTGGTGCAGGTGTTCCAGCAATAAGAACTAATCAGGAGTTTAAATTACCATAAGGTTGTTTTTGGTGAGATGAGGAGGCAAGTTATTTCTTTCTCATTTTATCAGTCTATCTATCTATCTATTGGTAAATAATGATGAATTTTCTCTTCCTTCTTATTATGAAATATTTCTGAAATTCTTACCTGACACCACACCAATTCCATCATCACAGTCATAGTCAGAGATTTCACTGTCACTTATTCTCTTTGATCCTATAAAGCAAACAGCAATAATCAAAATTGGTAATTACTAAGGAAAAAATAATAATCTCTCACCAACCTGAAAAATCAATGGGAGGATTTTGAATGGAACTTGAGAATAAGAAATAGAGAAGGAAAGTCACATGAGTTCACAAACATATTTTTACACGTATTTCATGATGTAGGTATGTTATTCTTGAAATGTGTAAGATAAAGCCCTCAAACAGTTTAAAGCTTAAAATAATATTAAATATCAAATGATGTATGTAAGTGATGTGATACTGATTGACAGAATGTATTGGAGAAAAAGTTAGTCAAAATAGCTAAGTTAAGTCTTTAGATGCTTTTAGACCAAGGCACTTGAATTTAGGTAAATTTTAAAACATAAACAACATGTTCTTCCAAAATGATTCACGTGTCTTTTTCTAATAGGACTTTCTAATAAAATAAGTATATCCAATTAATTAATTTCCACACTCATGGAGAGAAAACATAATTCAAGACATCTCAAACATCCCTTTGTAACTATTAGTTTAGTTATTTTTCTATTGCTTTGAGAAGAAAATTTGAAATAAATCATTCACAAACTGACAAATACACCTAAATTGTGAATTGTGTCATGTTTTCTAAGAAATAGGCTAAGACAGAACAGTAAAATTTATTATGAATCAGGAGCTCCATATATATGTTTTATTGCAAAACAGACCCCTAACAAAATGTTAAAATGTTTATCATGCTTGGCAAAAATTGCATTGATATGAACTAAGCAGAACTTCAATGGCTAAAGCAGATTATCTTCATGTGAATTAGAAAATATATCACATATTTAAACATGTTACATTTTATTTTTAACATATATATTCTCTACATGAGTCTCAGCAATAGGCACACCTGACACGATGGAATCTTTCATTAAAACATTTAATAAAGGAGAAAACATATAATGATAAATAAAAACAATATTGCTATTTCAAAAAAATGACTTGTTTGGTCTACTTACATTTTGTTATTCATTAAATAGACTAAACTCACTTATCAGAAAATAAATGCTTTCCTGTAGGTTTATAAAACATTGAGATCCGCCCTAACCGGTTTGGCTCAGTGGATAGGGCATCGGCCTGTGGACTGAATGGTCCCAGCTTCGATTCTGGTCAAGGGCATGTACCTTGGTTGTGGGCACATCCCCAGTAGGAGGCGTGCAGGAGGCAGCTGATCGATGTTTCTCTCTCATTGATGTTTCTAACTCTCTATCCCTCTCTCTCCCTTCCTCCCTGTAAAAAAATCAATAAAATATATTTTAAAAAACAAACCAAAAAAAACCCCACTGAGATCTCACATTGTCTAAGATGTTTAAAATAGCAATATTTGAACATTCTAGGAATGCCTTCCAATATTAGAAATACTCTACAAACTTTTTTTTTTGTTTTGCTTGTTACAATCCCTGCCCTCTCAGGACAGGAAGTCTTTGTTGCCAGGAACTGCATTCTTGTTTTTTTCCCTTCGAATGGTCAGGTAGAAGAAAAAGATCTGAGATCACGTGGTCTCACTGAATGAATTCACTATTTTCCTTCTAAATTCTTATGTCATTAAACTTTAGACCCAATCAAATCTGAGGCTGTTAGAGCTCCAATTGACATGCAAATTAGAATCATCTGATGACATCTCAACAGACTGGGCATATAAGCGCTTATACAATTAGGACATACATTCTAAACAGACTCAGAAGAGAGGAGGGATAACACAGATGAAGTTATTGAGAGATTAAAGAAGAACAGTGTAATGATGATTACTATACTATGTCAGGTATAATACAGAGCATAAAGATTACATGATTCTAACATTGGTTAAGAATCAGATCTGCCACCGAAACCAGTTTGGCTCAGTGGATGGAGCGTCGGCCTGCGGACCGAAAGGTCCCAGGTTCGATTCCGGTCAAGGGCATGTACCTGGGTTGCGGGCACATCCCCAGTGGGAGACATGCAGGAGGCAGCTGATCGATGCTTCTCTCGCATCGATGTTTCTAACTATCTATCTCTCTCCCTTCCTCTCTGTAAAAAATCAATAAAATATATTTAAAAAAAAAAAGAATCAGATCTGCCCCTGATATAAGATAATAATGACACCAGTAAAAAATTATCTAGCAGTCTGTACATGTATATGTAATTGCCATCCAAGAGAAAGAAATTCAATTGGGTAGAGAATTAAAAGAAATATTGGCCCCAAATCCACACAAGTAGCTGAAATCCTGAAAACCTTAATTGTGAAATCATGTCTCTTTTATCTTACACCTAGCAACAGCATCATTTTGGTTTTGTCTCAATAATTTGTTTCCATTCACTCTTCTTTGAAGGCTGGTAATGGGCTGAATGAAAGTATAATAGGTATGATGTTTTCTATGTTAAAAAGTGAAAGGGTGATAATATTACATTTTACTAAGTAAATAATTATTTGAGAATTTTAAGAGATAAATCTAGTTGATATGAGACAAAGAATGAAGTATCAAATTAAAGAAATCTCTAACTGAACTTTTGCAGTTCAAATGTTATGACAATAGTTAATATCAAATAATAAATTTATAAATGATTTCTGTCATGTTAAAAAAGAAGATTTTTACCTTAAGATGCTACACAACTTTAACTGAAAACAAACAATAAAGACTTAAACATCCAAATACACTTTTCAAACTAATGTTTCAGGAAAGTAATGAATAACATTACTCATCAATGAATCAAAAATAACTGTTTCATTCGGAGTCACACTATACATACTACACATAGGTATAACCTCATTTTAGTGTATCAAACAATTAAAGGTTTCAATAACAGCTATGCAAGCACTGAGATACCTGTTAATACCCATAAAGATATCTTCAAATTCCATGTCATATCTATCATTCAAGATAATTCAATAAAGATATGATAATTTTTTTTTACTGAAAACTTACTTTGCAACCTCCGTGTTGGGCTCTCTCCATGGAGCTGTCTTCGTGGCATGTATGGAGAAGGATGGGGAAGTGGGAAGGAAGAGACATCATGGGTCTGAAGTTTGTACCAATGTGGCTCATCATCTAATAATGCTGTTTCTAATTCAATTAAAATCTACAAAGCCAAGAGACAAAAAACCGTTATATACCAATAATACAGAAACTCTCTTAAAATATAATAGTAATGCTATTAGATCAAAAGCAAAGTCATGTTGCAAAGTTATTCATGTTTTCAAATTAATAAGATATTTATAACTTCTTATTTAAAAGTTTTAAATATCTAAGATATTTAAAGTTATTTTGACTAACCACTTACTAGAGGCTGTTGAATTTGCTATGATAGAAATACACCTATTATTAAAAGTCTCTAATAATACTAGCGTATTTTATAATTTAAAAAGCAATTCCATTCATTAATTTAGCCTTTTCATAAGCTCTAAACGGAGAGAGAAAACCAAATTAGAAGTGTCTAATGGGTATTAAAAACCATGTTATACATTGCCTACATTTTCTGGGGGAAAAACAACCTACTAGTTTGGTCTTGTTATCAACTTTTACAGAAAAGGATATCAAGGCTGAAAAAGGTTTAAAAGAGCTTGTCTCAGCTCACATCAGCTGGTAAGTGAAAGAGGTATAATATGAACCAAATAAAACTCTGTTCAATATATGCTGCTAAAGATTCAAAATAGGAACATTTGATTTTTTAAAATGAAACATACTATAATATGCATTTTAAAATATAAATGTTTAATAAATTTTAACAGGAAACTAGTTCATAGAAATAAATAACTCCTTTTATTTTCTTTTAGAGTCAGGTACAAATGCAACAGCATTTATGCTTAGGAACATGAGAACTGCTATTTAGTGATAAATCACTATTTAGCTATGGGACGTAACGAGGCAAAATAGCTAAGTTCTTTCGTTCTTCCCAAATTTTCCCGTCATTTTCAACGTGATAGGCCCTGTGTTCCAAATTCTGGCACATACACATACACTTACTTAATCCTCACAGTAACTCCTAGCTTTCCTACTTGGGTGAAGAGGAAACTGAAAGAGAAACAGATTTAATAACTTGCTCAAGGACACAGGCTAGGAAGCAGAAGTGCCCCAAAAAATCTACCACTGGTTCCCATTACCCACAGGATAAAATCCAAACTTTTTAATGTGACGGATTAAGGGCCACAATCCGGTGCCAGTTTAACCTTCAAGTCTCACTTCTCACCACTTTCCCTTCCAGCCTCAGTGCAGTTGTCAAGATCCCCTCAACTCTAGTGTCTTGTTATTCCCCCTCAAGAAATTTCACTCCCCTGGACCTTGCTACATTCCGCTTTCTCTGTGGAGCGTTCCCTGGACCACTTATCCCCCCTGTGCACAGCAAGCATGTACATATCCCTATTGCATTACTCTGTAACAGCATTTGCCTTCCTGTATTACAATTGCCTAGTCACTCATCTGTAGTCGCAGTGGCTTATAAATTCCTTCAAGGAAGTAACAGGCTGGATTCACCTTGGAAGCATGAGAGCCTAGCATGTTACAGGTATATCACAAAGCTTAAACACAATCCAGGACAAAATGACTGAACTAAAAGCAGTACCACTGGTTCAGTAAACTAAATTGATATGCACACATTATAAAACAGCAATATATATATTTGTGAAACTTTCATCATTCAACAATGAAACATAAGAATAAGAATAAACATGTAAATATTGTCACAGAGTATTTAGAACCATTGTTTTTTGTGACATCAATAAGTTCTGTCTTAAAGCAGTAGCTAAATTGATTCCATCAAAATAGAAATTTTTACTGGCAGTCATATGAAAGAATATATTAGGGGAGGACACATACCTCTCCTAAGAATTCACTTTCTTCCTCTCGAACCCGAGCTTGATCCCAAAGGGTAATCTCCAGCATTCGTTCCCTAAATTCTCTGCGGTGGACTGGAGAATAAATGAATGTTTGGTTCCACTTGGGTTCCAACGTTTTCTTTACAGTTTTCGTTCTTCTTTTGTTTTTATCGCTATGAAAAAATTAGGATATATGAACTTATATAAAACTTTATTTTAAATTTGCCATACAATTATTAATGTAAAATTTCCCAGGAAAGAGGTCAAGTAAAGTTTTGCCACAAATTTATTAAAAATTGCAAATGTTGTAATCTTTAAAATTACTATTAAAATTTTTAAGTTGTACAGTTATATCACTTTTGTGTATTGACTTAATAATAGCAACATTTCAATAAGTTTGAAAATTTCCCATGAGATAACTGAATACTTTATCTTTCTCAAAATCTAAATAAGACTACAGAAATCTTATTCCTAAATTTTTTTTAATATATTGCCCAATTGGAAACCTTCCAAATGCTAATTAACCAAAAGCTCTTCATATACTATTCACTTAAACTGCCAGAGTCTCAATTGACCAAAAACTCTAGTAAATTGTGATGTTCACCACTTCACTGTGATAGTTTTCTCTCACTCCAGTCCTAAAATTTTAACTAATATTTTAAAGCATCTACTTATATTCCATCCATTAAAGAATGAATTATGAAACTCTGTCAAGAGACAAAGTTCCTTCCATGAAAAAAACAGTAAGAAAGCATTTATTTAGTGGGAGCCTTGCTATCTAATTCAAGAATGGTCTATATACTGCGATCTGAAAGGGAATAGAAGCAGCGGCCTTGACTTCCTCCTAAGGAGTGAAGAAAGCTCTCAAAGAATGGCTATTTCAGAAGGGATTTCTTCTGTACTGGGTGGGAGGGAGACTAGATAATCTCTGACGTTCTTTGCAAACCCGGCAGATATGATTACAATTTAATAAGGCAAACTGAAGGTTAACCTAGATTTAACACTCCAGTCATGGATGTCCTCTTCCTCCATCGCAGTTCAAAGGGTCTCCCCGTCCAAAAGACAACCTAAGTTTTTAGAGAACAGCTATCCTCAAGCAAACTTTGTAAAATAAAATGAGATAGCAAATAACTTCTGACAATTTTAGAAATTGTCCCCCTCTTGACATATTTTCTGAGAAATTTCTATCACAACTTTCACTTCAAAATGTGTATCACACCCCTGGCTGGTTTTGCTCAATAGATAGAGCATCAGCCTGCAGACTGAAGGGTCCAGGTTCAATTCCGGCCAAGGACACATGCTTCAGTTGCGGGCTTGATCCCCAGTAGGGGGCGTGCAAGACGCAGCCAATCAATGATTCTCTCTCATCATTGATGTTTCTATCTCTCTCTCCCTTTCCCTTCCTCTCTAAAATCAATAAAGTATATTTTTTTAAAGAAAAAAATGTGTATCATAAAATGTAAGGCCTTTCTTAATTCTTTCATCCTTGTCATCTTTTTCTTGGCTGAAATTGTTCTTCAGAGGGTACTCTGGCACCCAACTCAACCTGGATGACCTAAGCTAAGTAAATGAGGGCCGCAAAGTGTAGAAACATATTTAATAAGATCACATTGTGCCCAGTCATTTCCAACCTGAGAGAAAGGAGCAGACCTTGAGAACACCGTGCCCTGACAGCAGGATGCAGAACAGATGCGGGGAGGATAACTGGGGCATTTACTGTTTTCTTTTTCCATGATGTTATTGAATAATCTCTCTTATTGCTCATGTGCCTGAAATTTACGGTGATTAGCAGATAATTTTTGATAAGTTTTTTCTTCAACCCTAATTATTTAAATCAGGGTAGAACATCATTTATGTTGATTAGCAAGGACACACACATGATGACACTTGAAGAAGCTGGTTCTGGGCCAAATGGTAAATTTCCTTGATTACATGGAGTGATGAAATAAAAAGTACACTCATTAATTTTACAGAATTTAAATAAATAGTATTTTTGCAAGAGAAGATAGAAATTATAGAGGAATACGATGAGTAGTACCTTTTAGAACCATTTTTAGCGTTTGGCTCTGCACTGTGTTGAAAATACAATTTATTTAAAGGAGGCAAATTTTTAGTAATTTTGATAAACAAAAACATATTGTTTAAGAAATAATCCACACAACCAGAAATAAATACGCAATAAAACAATGTATATTATAGACATTTGATATAAATTTTAAAAACAATCCCAAAGTATTTATTGTCACTATTTTGAATCCTAAGAATGATTATGCTTATGTTAAACTTCATAGGTATCTGAAAGGTATGATAAAAATAAATGATACAGAATAAAAGCACTCATTGCTATTAACATTTCTCACTTACTTTCAAAAACATTTTTTTATTTCCTATCCCTACCTTCTGTCTGGAAGAAAGTAAATTTTAACGTAAGGATTCCTTGGCCTCCCATCTTCCCTGGACGGGAGATCCTTTGCTCCCAAAATTGTAACTATGAGTTGGTGACCGACCTTGTCAAACCATAGTTTTATCTGAAAAGCAAAAATATTCATTTATCAGCTCAAACATTTACTACCTTCACATAATTTTTATGTCCCCATCTTCATTCACCACATTCTCTTACATTAATACTGGCAGAGAATATAAATTTCACTCAGTAAATTGCATTTAGTCAAAATAAAGGGATATGCTTTAATAACTTCACTGAATAGAGGAATTAATCCAAATATGTCGGTGTGATTCATAAATTCCTTGGAATTTTCTTTTTCACCAGTAAATTACTAGTAGCTTTAGTCAATGGACTCCTTAAGTTTGTATTTAAAACTACAATCTACAATAAAGTCAAAATTTTTAATTTATATAAAGTCTCTTTTTTTTTTTTTTGATATAAATGTAGCACATCCTTAGGAAATAAGAGTCGATTTTTTAATTTGAGATGTGGAAATGTGAATAATTCCCCTATGCCTTAATTAGGAATTGGAACTTCAGATCCAGCTGCAGAATTAATTTGATGTAACTACTGTCACCTCCCACACACGTACCTCACACTCCCACCCCTAGCTAGCTGATTCTACTGTGTGAAGATCTATAACGGTGGCTCTCACCCACAAATTGGTTCAGAACTCAACTGATACTATCTTGAAATTGATATTGAATCAAAAATTTTAAATTTGGGAATAAAATATATTTATAGAATCTGTATTTTACAGTTTGTATATTTTATGGTATATATATGTTAATTATTGAATTTTTCCTTTCACCTGAATATGCATTTTGCAGTCATTTACAAAACTTAAATATACATATCTAATGTCAGTCCTTCCTTCTCTTCTCTAAAGTGGACAGTCAGGTCTGGGCCAAGCTAACAGGGCTTGTTCACTCCCTCACTTTGTATTTTAGGGACTGAGAAGCTGCGCAGGGAAGAGGAAGACAGATGGCCCAGAAGAGTATATAAAATTATTTATATGTTTCCCTTTCTTTGTCAAATAGAATCAGCCCTCTTATAGAACTACAGAAGAAATATTTAAATTTTTAAAATTATAATTACTCCTCTCTTAGTTGTGTTAAGTCCTTGTTTAATGCAGGTGTTATCTTGCTGCTGTGTTATAAAAGGTTTTCATAACAGAACTGTTCCGTTTAAACAGACCAGCTAATCTGCGGTTCACAGACCTCCTGCGTCAGGGTCATCTGGTTTATGTGTGAAGAAGCTAAAAGTTCCTGTGGCCCACCTCTCACCTAGTGAATCAGAATAGGGTCCAGGAATTACCATTTTAACAAAGTCCTCCAATTCCCACGGACATTACAGTTTGAGAACCATGGCCTTAGATTATGGGATCAACCTGAAAGAAAAGCCTCTAACATTTGAATGGAGAAAAAAGTTGACATATTTGCTTGCCTAACAATATCAGAACATAGATACAGATGAGGGTAAGTGGGGAAAAGACTAAGTTGTTCTGGAAAAAGACATGAAGGGAAAACAAAGCAAAAAGGTAAGAAATGAGTGTCTTGTGTATGACATGAACAGATGTCTGCAGATAGCATGCACCATGGTTCCTCTAAAATGTGTGATCAAAACCAGATTAATTTCTGATATTCTCTACTGTCTATAGAAATAAAAAAGGCAATTGCTTTATTTTTCTATGATATTAAAAATTCAATATTAGACACCTTAAGGAGAAAAGAAAACACTAAAAAGCTAAAAAAAAAATTTCCAATAAACTTTACACTTAAGAAACAAAGAAACAATGATGATTATTAGACTAAGCTCATTTCTGTGAGTTGTGTTTTTTTTAAGGATTGAGGCTAAGCCATCGCCACAGGCAATACTTTTACTCCTTTGAAATCATTAAAGCTAAACATCTGAGATATATATGTCGAATGTCTGATAAAGAGTATTCTTTTTCGATTTTCTTATGCCATGGAAAAATAACAGCACTTTTTAGTAATATTCATTTTTATACAAATATTAGGCATATAACTTTCATATTTTTATACTAAGTAAGAACTTATTGAATTAAACGTTACAAGTATATAAATGTTTAAATATATAGATATGAAACAGGCACATTTTAATTTTAATGATTTTTTATCAAAATTACACTTTTTAATAAACTCTCTTAAACTGGGCAGTTGATCAATAGCTCCAATTTTCATTTTATATTACAGGACTTGCATTGAAGTTTTTAATATATATCCAGTTCACTTTATCAAAATATAATCATTTTATTAGCTAGATTATTTTATCTCATTTTGAAATTCTTTATCTGTGCTTTTTAAATGAATGGTTAGTATATCTGTTGATTCTCCAAAACATAACAAATGTATTTCACAAATCTAAATATGACATATGTCTTTATATTTACTTCATTTTCATTAATAAAACTCTTGGTATTATTCTAATTGTTTTAACATAATTATCATTCCAGCTTAACCATGTAACCATTTTTAAACTTCCTAAGCAGAACCTGAGTAGCACAAGTAAATATTTTATACTATATAATATTAACTAGAACAATTTTAATTTTTAATATTTAAACTAAATTGGCATTACTCAAAATCAGCAATAACAATAAAAAAAATACATGCAGCAAAGCAAGGGAAGCATACTAGTAATACTACCTTTTTAAAAAAACTATATTGATATTACTTTACCATATAAGGGTTTCCTAGTGAAAAGAGGCAAACAACTTGTATCCAATTATTACAGAAAAATTAAATGAAATTACAATTACAAAATGTAAACAAAATAAACCCAACACTTTTTAATTGGGAATTGTGATTTTGTTCTTTCAAAGTATTACACGTTCCAAATGTTGAACCTTATATATAATAGGCATAAAATTCATATTTTCAATAAGGTACAAATTTATTTGCCAATCTCCTCAAGGAGTTATTGTTTGGAAAATGCAAACAAATGTAGATGTGAAGTGACATAATGAATGATTTAAAGAGACAAAACAAAGGCAAAAATCAACAGTTAAATTAGCTTTTTCTTTTGATGGTACATATGTAAGTAGAGTCTACATTAAATGTCACTTTGTATCCATGACTTTTGGTATTCAGTTCATCATATAAAATCACTAACAAAAATTGTCTCTTTAAATTTTTATTGTTTTTTAATCCCCATGCAGAATCTTACAAGCCGGCTCATAAAATGATTTGAAAGTCAATAATATGACTTGGAGCAACATACCAAAACATGTTTTCCTACTACGCATTTTCCAAAAACATACAAATAAGGGGTAAAACACAGCTTTAGTTTCTATCAGGCAGACAAGGCCTTTACCTGAACCCTAGGAACAAAAGGCGTTGTTCTTCTACTAAGGCTTTGGCTCTGGTAAGCAAAATTAAAGAAAAAAGCAATAAAACAAAACCAAAAGGACAACACGCTGGAACTAAAAGACCAAAGTAAAAACCAACACGTACAACTACCACCCCTCAAATATAATTTTCCCGTGACAATATATGTCTAAATTAATTACATCACGTAATGAATAACTTAATTTTGCCAAAATGCTAACATATATAAAATCTTAAAATTTTTAAATCAGTGTTAAGTGCAATAATAAAAACAACAGAAATTAAGCCCCAATGTAAAATAACATACTCAGTCTCATAAAGTCTGAAAGAATAATTACAAACGGAACCCATTAGCCAAGAAATGTCAGGTTTCCCCCTTAAGCACACTATATAGAAAAAAAAAAAATCACAATCCAGATGACATGAGATAAGAATGCATTAGAGAATTATTAGTGAAAAGACATTTTTACAAGGAACTGTGACTTGTCCAAAATGATATGACTAACAAAAATCTAAAAAACATTAGTCAAGTCGGCTTAGCATTAATTGTTAAAAGAATGTAACAGTAAGATAAAAGTATGCTGGAATGCACTGGATTAATTAGGTAATTCATACTTTAAGGATTTATACCATTTTCAGACATTTATTATGTACCACTTGAGATTATCATACCTATTAATGAAAATACGTATCTTATTTATTTTTATTTGTATTGTTCTCTATATTTTTCCAAGCATTTACTATTTATTGCAAGTTTATTGCCTCCAACAACACTAGGTGGGTGTCAGTATTATATCCAATTTGTAGATAAGGAAAGAGAAACAGAACACCACCACGAAAAAGGCTAGATACTCAAACAAAAGGTAAGATACTCTAAAAGTAGATGATAGAGCCTGCCTCTGATTAAATCACTCTATTTCATATTCTTTGAGTGAAATCAAATTTGATTTCTCTTCTGACTTATTTTGTTTTCATTTGAAACTGTTTCCGACAAAAACACCACAACAATCAGAATTGTGTGCCTTTATTAAGGCATGCCCACAGTTACATCAGGAACAAAATCAGATGCGTATCTCTGAGTTTGGGAATGGATTTCAAGGCATTTAATTTTGCTTCTTTCGCCAAAATTCCATTCCATTCCTTACATTTCTCATGGATGTCTCTCTTGTCTAATTCCCCTGCGAGATGGGGGCAGTTAATAGGGACTAGGAGCACTGGTGCCCAATTTACCTATCATCAGACTTACACTTTGTCAGACATAAATCTAAGACCTAGAGGAAAGAAGACTGTAAAAATAGACTATCATTCAATCATGAGTCATCCTCATGCTCTCTCTCCAAAAACTAAGGAGTCCCAAATCTCCGCTGTCTTCCTTTTTGTGTGGAAACCCACCCCAAGGAAGAAACAAATGTTTAGATATGGAGTGTGTTACTGACCCTTGTCTGCACAACTCAGATGGGGAAGGGATGTATGAAATGCATATAGATAAAGTAGGTACACCAAGGTAAAGAACTAATGCCCGACCTGGTTTGGCTCAGTGGACAGAGTGTTGGCCAGAGGACTGAAGGGTCCCAGGTTCAATTCTGGCCAAGGGCACGTACCTCAGTTGCATACTTGATCCCTGCCCCCAAGACGGACGCTTGCAGGAGGCAACCAATCGATGTGTCTCTCACATCACCGTTTCCCTCTCTGTGTCTCTCCTTCTTCCTTCCACTCTCTCTAAACATTAATGTAAAAATATCCTCAGGTGAGGATTTAGATAAAGAAAAAAGAAAAGCACTAACAAGGTACTTTATTTAGTAGATTTTATTTTCCTTGCCCTCTCACCTGTTCTACCTGTTTTACACCAAAAATATCAAGGTAATGGAAGTAAATATTACTTCATAAACTAAAAAATTACTTTAAAAGAAACAGTACTTTAAAGTAAACTAATCTTTAAAGCAATCATTGTCAACCTTCTAAAATGATCTCAAAAGGGCAACTCATGGAATTCCCGAAATCAACTGTCTAAATTCTATGGCAATTTAAATTATCTTCACCCATAAGTTCACACTTTAAACTTGGCTATAAAAACATATTTTGATTTATTAGTTTTTTTTAAGTGAGTTCAAATTCGACAAAGCATTTTAAAGTGTGCAATCCAGAGGCATTTAGTGCATTCACGATGCTGTGCAACCACCACCTCCCTCTACTTTCAAAGCTTTTTCATCGCCCCATAAGCTGTTGTTTATCTGTTAAGTAACCACTCCCTGTGCCCCCATCATCCTAATTCCTGACAACCACTGAGCCGCTTCTGTCCCTATGGATTCTGGATATTTCACATTGAAGTATTATGTATTTCATTGCAACTTGTAATGAACATTACTGCATTATTTTCAAACATGAAATACCTGATATCTGTAACAGTTCAGCCTCATCCAAATAAAGAATATGATTTTGTGCACCACAATTTATTTTGCACTTTTAATGTCACTTTCTACTATATACTGTACTGCTATATTTAGGACAGTCCTTTTAAGCAATGCTTCTGGAATAACAAGACTGTGACAACAGGGCTGAAAGATAAATGCTCAAAGAAAAAAACCTTAGTTTGCAGAAAGTTTTAAAAAGTCTAGAGTTTCTAAAGAGATATAAAAGATATATATTGTTCAGCTACTTATTCTCTTTAAAAAGGGGCATATGTCATGGATAGGTACAGCATTTACAAACTCATCACTAAAAATGGAGTCAGAAAAATATTAAAACAAAGTAACTCAGGGAAACATTGCAACCATAAGACAACCACAAGCCCTAAAGTAAAATAAGATTGTCAAAAAAAAAGTCAGTGTATTCCTATAGTAAACACGAATTCTGAGCCATTTCTCACTTTTAAAAGCCAGGAGAGCTATATTTTTTATCTTAATTATCAAAAAAGTAGCCGAAAACTGCAAATTAATTTAAAAATATTGAGACATTATAAAAGTAATTCTCTGAAGAAGGAAACTGCTCAATATGGAAGAACACTTTTTTTTTTTTTAAATCCACATGGGAATGCTGATAGTGAAAAGGCTAACATATAGTCCAGGTGTCATGACCATGAACTCACACTGATTGTCTCACCACGTCCATTACTGGCACTCTCCTAGCCATGCCCTAGAATAACCACAAGCAGCAGCACAATTCGAGCATGGAGAGGAAATACACTGCATAATATTTTAAGAATCAACAACAACCTTGAGCATGAAAGTTGAAACAACCATTTGCATTGTATGTATATTTTATACTTGAGCATGTATCAGTCCTTGAACTGACATGAGTATATTAGGAAGGGCGGCTCACATATCAGGCAAATTATCTTTTTTCTCAGGCATTAGCAATGTCATGATTGTGTAAATGAGTTATGGGCCTGGTAAACTCTCACCAAAAGCAATAATGCCCAAAGATAAGATGCAAGGATACAGACATTGTGATGCTGCCTTGTGACTTTCTAGGGGTGTTACCAAAGGGTGATATATGTGGACACACTTTTTCCAACCTCTACATCATTACAGCATACCAAAATTGCCTCCAGTTGGCAGAAATAGGATTAAATATAAAGGGAAAGACTATATCCAAAGGGTATAATGCTCATATTTTCCTGCCTGCAAAGAATAAGTATAAAATTAAGTTTCATGAGTGTAAAATTCATGTTTATCTTGTTCACTGTTGTATTCTCAGCTACCAGTATTATGGCTGAACTGGAATCAGACCTTAACATATATTTCTTAAACAGATAATTGGAGATAATTTGCCAAAATATTTTTGGGGGAAATTGGGCAGTAGATCTCAAGAACCTTAAAATTTTCTTTTCCTTTCATGTTTCAATGTTAATTCTGGAAAGTTGTCCCAACAAAATATTTTGTCCTAACAAAATATGCAAGACTTATATTAAAGGATTTCCATGGCATCGTTATTTATAATAACATAAATGAGAAACAAAATATCCCATTATAACAAATTAAGTTAAAAAAGGAGTAATAAATAGGTATTAAAATCATTTTAAGCAATTTTTTTTAAGTTTAAGGAAAAACTGCACAATATTAGTAAATGAAAAAGAAGGTTTACAAATAGTATACATGAATTTGTTAGTTTTGTTTAAAAAATTATAATTATATGAATAGTTATCTTTTAGTGGCAGGACTATAAGTGATTTTTATTGTTATTTATTTATTTATCTATACTTTCTAGATTTACCATAACAAATATTATTATATTTGTAAAGATTATCTTATTGGAACATATTTCTTCTAACTAATAAGAAAATGATAAAATGGTATGTATACAAAATTGCAATTACATGGATTTTAAACCAGCATCATTTATGAATTTAAGAACTATAACTTTATAACATTATAAATATTTATAAGTAAAACTTTTATGTTTATATTTCCCCTAAATATTTAACAGTTTACCTTATTACTGTATTCATTTTGAACTATGAGGAAAAATCAAAAAATCTGAAATTTGTCTAAATCTTTCCTAGTCCAATTTGTAATAGGGCCTTGGGAATTTAAATGAGGTAACAAAGTGGTACTTATCATGGAAGTATGTCTTCCACTCCTTCCTCCTCCACCAACTGAAGCCAATTGCGCACGCGCACGTACACACACACACACACACACACACACACACACACACATACTTATTTATATACTGGCATCATCCAGCTACCCAAAACATTACTTAAAGATGAACTATTTAAATACAGCCATAAAAAAGAAAAACAGCTAACATTTATTACCACTTCCTAAAATGGTGGGGGAAAAAGACATATATATATTTGTAACCATAAATAACATTCGTACTGACAATATATGTAAGAGAATAAGGAGAAAGATTCTACTTATTGTGGAAAAATAAAAAAGACCATTGTCCTCAAATGAAAAGTTCACTCTGTTTATGAAAGAGAAAGGAAAAGAATAAAGAGAAGAAATTTACTTTAGTAAGACATTTACAATCTCCTAACAGTAGCGCAATATTTTCCTTACGTAACTATTTTTAATTGTCACCTTTTTGATCAAAATACCTCCAGAACAGACATGTCTAATGACTCGTTCAGTAAACTTTAATATGCTAAGTGTGCTTATAGTTTCTATATCTTCTTAAAATTAATGAAAATTTAGTAAAAATCAAACATCTCCCTTTCTCCTAAAAATATAAAAGAAGTTTTGTAGCTTATTTAGTAAAGATTTTTCCTTTTGCTCTTAAAATATTAGTCCAAGAATAGTTTAGTTTTTATGGATAATTTTTATACAAAACTCAGTGTCTGAATTTTGAGTTTCTAAATAGTTCTTAATATCCATAAAGTTTCAAGTTTAATAACTTAGTGACATTATTGTCAATACTAACCTTATTTTTCTAAAATATGGATGGATAAATTTTAATATTTTAACATTTTAAAATGGTTTAAAAAGGGAAATAAAACTGAAGAAGTTAACAAAAAAGTGAGGGCTTACATTTGCAAAGCTCTTCTAATATAGACATAAAACACATAACTGAACTTTTAACTTCCATTATAAAATATTCGAATTAGGGATCATTTAATATAAAAATCATCTGGTGTACTTCGTAGTCAATTATATATTTACTCATGTACTTAATTCTGTCTGTTGACAAAAGCATCTTAAGGTTGAAAAGCAGGAAAAGTACATAAATGTTTACTTTTATCTTACATATACCATCTTTGTTGCAGAATTTTTATTACCCTTAAAAATTCATGACACATTATAGTCTTTTTAGGATATTGAGCAAAAACCATAACCTTGAATTTTGGAATATTTACTAAAGTAAAAAACATTGTAGATATCTTCACAAATTCTTAAGCTCATTACATTACAGGAAACCTAACTCTAATAAAGAAAGCACTATGGTAAATAATTAAAATTTAATTTCAATTAATTACTAAGAATGAGAGTGTTGATGGTTAGAGGCACAATTATATTCTAAGAAGAACTTGGTTTACCAAAAACTAGCAACATATAATAAAAACACTACTTAATTTTCCAAAAAGAGAAATTAATTTAGTGATTACGTACTGAAAGTTGTCCAGATAAAAACTGTGGAACATCTCGCAGCATGCCGGGACTCATGGGAGAGGTAACGGAAATAGAAGGACGATCCATTTTTTGAGATTCAAATGAGCTAGAACCTGAAATGGCAATCACACATAAAGAATAACAACAATGGCTCTTCACTGGTATTCATCATCTTCACCATCTAGCTCTTAAATTTTATTTTTAATGTCCACAGAATGTCATTCCACTTTCCTAGCCACAATGTTCCAAAGTGTTTAGAAGGTTTACTGGAGCATAAGTGAAGTTTAGTACTCAGAAGTGACATGCATGAATTATTTGAATGGAGGGGAAGGAAAAAATTGGAGAGTGAGTAAAAATGGGGCGAATGGGATACTTAATTTTCTCCTGATGAATGACATTATTAACAACATTCTCTTCTAGAACATATAAAACTTACTGGACTCCAGTTGTCCATGTGTGCTATCAGGTATTCTTGGTATATCTCTGAAATGATAGAAAAGGAAAACAAGAAATTGTTGCAACAATTAATGCAACTACTGTTTTCATCATTATCAACCTATATTCTTGGTTAAGACCATTAATTAAAAAATATTAAAATTTATACCCATTTATAGCAGATGTATAGAAACATATACTTTATTTTCTATATGCCTCACTAAACAATTACCCATTCTAAAAAATGTCTACATTCAACAAGTTTTATAGATACATTGTAAGTCTATTCCATTCTTTATTTTTACTTGCCGCTGTTCTAAATCAATAATATTAAAATGCAAGTAAAGTATCACCAAAACAAAAATTTAATTATTCAGATTCTGATTGAAACTTTTTAAATGTAGTAACTCCACTGAGAAAAATGCAAACATGTTCCTTACTGGACTTACAAAATTACTACGTAACTGCATTTACACACACAAAAAATGTACATTTTCTTTTGAGATTTGCCAAAAGGGGTAGATATTAATGGTTAAGATCATTCAGAAAATTACATAAAAGAATATTTAAGACATTAAACAAAAATGTTTAGAGTATCTTTTAATATGAAGAAATACATTTGATTAATATACTAGGTTGATACGGTACAGTTTTAACATAATAAAAAACTTCGAAAAGACAAAATGAAAAACAGATACAATTTCATGTGCTAGATTCATTACTTTTGAAAGGAACATTTCAAAAACTAAGTTACCAACATAAGTCATTTTCTACAGGATAAAAAGATAACAAAATAATATCCTAAATGAATGAAAACTAGGCATTATATTCTATAGCAAGAAATAATTTCTATAGCCTCTACCCTAGAAAGCTTTCACCATGAACATAAATTTAATACACCTCAAGGGAGGTGCTGTTGTCATGCCCATTGTACAGGTGAGGAAACTGAGGCTTCGGCCTGAGAAGCTGGCTTTTTCGATAGCTCTGGGTTCTTCTTTTGTAATTAACTTTACAGACAGAGATGTCACGATTTTTGGTGAGGTGTTTTTAGTAAAAGAAATGTCCTCAAAGTAATGTATTTTGATAAGGCAATCAGACAGTTTTGGATTGCGCTTCATAAATTGTTTAATGTAATCAACTCTATACATATGAAAAGTGCTCAGACCCACTCACCCAATAGGCCTTGAAACAACAAGCTCCACTTGTGGTTCCGGTTTGGATTCCAGAATGATGTTATAGACTTCTTCAAATGTGGCTCCTTGCAACAGCCTTCCGTTCCATTCTAACACTTCATCACCTATTGTGTGTATCAGTAATGATCACCTTAGAAAGAAAATCTAATCCCATGCACTCAAAACAAAGCAATCTTATGCTGCAATAACCCCCACTGAGTAAAACGACCATTGTGAAACATACTGAGAACAGCTCCAGTGGCATAAAATTTGATGACAAGGATGATTGGTATATTTCACCCAAAAGGCCAAGGGTCAGGAAAAAAAAATTACGTAACAATGATCTCTGTGCTCTCCAGGATTTTCTCTGATGTCTTGTCCATGAATAGCTGTTAGTTCTTCTTGTGAAGGGGAGCAAAGGCAGGAGTGAACTATGTCACCGACATCGAAACGTTAATTCCAACCGAAATTCTAATCCTAGAAACTATCAAGGTCAGTCTCCACTTTATAGGTTTCATGAGTCTGCATTCTAAGTTGGCTGAGCACTGGGAGTGAACTATGTCACCATCTTGGTGACAGAGAAATGTTAATTCCAACCGAAATTCTAATCCTAGAAACTATCAAGGTCAGTCTCCACTTTATAGGTTTCATGAGTCTGCATTCTAAGTTGGCTGAGCACTTTGTCTAAATTCTCTTGTAGAAAGCTTAACATTTAGTATCTTACTGAATCCTCTCCAAGGCACTGAAGGATCTCTCCTATCCATTAGAGATAAAGAATAACACACTTTAGGAAATATACATTTATCTATGAAGTTTTTTTCCTAAACTATGTTGGAATTTTAAAAAAAAAAGTTAAAGCTTATGGGAAACAAAATAAATGAATACTAGGTACAGAGTAGGAATATCCATGAGCAAAATAAATAAATAAATACATAATCAAAAAATAAATCAATAAATCCCTTTATCTAATGTGGTTCAAGAAATAATATTACTTCCCATCATTAATGGCAATTAATGAAAATTATTACACTTACTTAACCTCATCAGAATTAATGTGAACTGTTGACCATTGGCATCCCATTTTTTTCCTATTTTTTTATTTCTATTAATAGGGTAAGGCAAAAGTAGGTTTACTTTTACTAAATTTACTTAAGTTAAATGAGCACTTTATTACTAGTCAAATCACTTCTATTTGAGGGTAACTTTTCGTAACTGCTCAATTGTAACAGTTAAAATGTGAACAGTCAAAGATAGAAACCTACCTGGTCTAAGATGTCCCACAGTATCAGCTAAACTTCCTTTTTTCACTTTGGTAATAAAAGCACAGAGCCGACCTGATTCAGTCATCTTTCCTCCTACAACCTGTTTAATAAAGAAAAGGAGTAGGAGATACTTCGTTCCAACGAACATGATTGAATATTCAAGTAAAAAATAATTAGACAATTTGAAACGTTAAAAAATATATATATGTTTTTATTGATTTTAGAGGGAGAGAGAGGAAAGGAGAGGAAGAGAGAGAAACATCAATATGAGAGAGAAACATGGATTGGTTGTCTCCTGCATGCATCCCAGCCTGGGATCAAACCCGCAACCTGGACATGTGCCCTTACCTGGAATCAGACCGGCAGCCCTTTGATGCACACTCAACCAGCTGAGCCACACAGGCCCGGGGGACAATTTGCAGCTTTTAAAACTATAATTTACTAGGCTTAAAGTATTTTTTAAGTAACATAGTGTTGTTACTAAGAACTGAGCACATATCCCAAGAGTAAGCTTTTTACATATTCCAAATATTTTAGCACTTAATCCATTATTTGTTGAAAATGTTGCATACCTTAAAAACAACAACTTGGAATTTCTTTATTACAGAATTCTTCACTTTTGTCACATCTAAAAATATGTTATTTCAGTGCTATGTAATTAACATATCCTGTTTCAGATTTCAAAAATCACAATAATATACATACTTGTTAGTTTTACTATAGTTATGATAGCCTGCCTAAATTTCATTAGTAACCTTTTAGGCACATTAATAATGTGCATGATGATGATATATTTTTCCTGAGAAAATTATTACACTTACTTAACCTCATCAGAATTAATGTGAACTGTTGACCATTGGCATCCCATTTTTTTCCTATTTTTTTATTTCTATTAATAGGGTAAGGCAAAAGTAGGTTTATAGTTGTTCGCATGGAAAAATACTACGATAAATAATAATACAAGAATAAACTGTGTTTCTTGTACTCGCAACTGTAAACTTACTTTTGCCCACTCCTGTACATATTTCAGAAAATATATATATATTACCAATAATGCTGTGGAGTCATAGATGTACCATCAAGAGTAGCCTCTTACAAAAGTAATGCTTTCTCATTTCTTGCAATTCAATCAATATATCAACTTTATAGCAAGCCAAGCAAACAATAGCAACTAATATCGTTGACTAAAATAGTATTTATGCTTTTCTAAAGTGAGTGAAAGATATCTGAATTAAAATACCACTAATTTGTCTTATTCCATGTATTTATTCCCAAACTGCAATGAATTAAACTCAAGTGCAGTACAGTTAATACTAATTGTTCCTATATTTGATTCTGAAAATTAAATATATAGATATTTTAGATTTACATCCCTATGTTAATTTTTTAAAAAATTTTATTTTTGAATTGACAAATTTTAATAGTAATAATATTATTGACTATATTATTGCTATCTAATAGCGTGTCAGACACTATACTAAATGTTTATATATTGCTATATTTAAACTTACTGTAAGAATTCAGTAAGCATTATTCTCTCCATTGTACAGATGAGGGGTCTGAGGCTAAGACCGTCAGGTACCCAGTCACTGCTGTAACCAGAAATCAAGCCAAGACTTCCTAACCGTCACACTACACTGTTTGACATGATATTGGGCAGATCTGGATCTAAATCCCACCTTCATCTCCATCTTGTGACCATGGGCAAGTTATGACAATTCTCTAAGCTTTTTTAATCCGTTGTGCCTGTTAAACAAAATGATAGATGTAAAGTGCTCAGATGAGTTGGCAGCCACCCAATAAATGTTAGTTGCACAATTCCACTTACACCCAAAGTTTTCTAATATTTCTCACTATGTTCTATAGGAAAACTTCTGTAGCAATGGCTTAACTCTAAAACATTTACTCTTTTTTTACTTCAGTTTTTAATTCACCATACAGATGTACAAAAAAACAAACAAAAACAGACAGAACTAGATCAACCAAAGGACTTTAATGCATGCATAATAAACCTAACCGATGGCCACAGACACCAGGGGGCTGAGGGCATGATTGGGGGTGAGGTGGGGGGGAAGGGATAAGGACACATATGTAATACCTTAATCAATAAAGAAAAAAAAACAATCATATTTGGTGTAATATAAATTAGTATTTATATGAAATCTCCTAACATAAGTATTTTTGAGCTTCCAGACTTCAAATAGTATTCTCTCTCAGATACAAACACATACACTCAATAGACACATATTTTGCTACACTAATACAAAAATTGTGTTCCCAAATAATACATGTATTACATTTCTCAAGTTTGCATATTTAGTCATTGACTAAAACTATCACTTAAATAGAATATAGCTCGGCCAGTGTGGCTCAGAGGTTGAGCCTCGACCTATGAACCAGGAGGTCATGGTTCATTCCCAGTCAGGGCACATGCCTGGATTGTGGGCTTAATCCCCAGTAGGGAGCATGCAGGAGACAGCCAATCAATGATTCTCATCATTGATGTTTCTCTCCCTCTCTCTCTCTCCCGTCCTCTCTGAAGTCAAGAAAAAATATATTAATAAATAAATAAATAAATAGAATATAAACACAGATATAGACATAAAGGACAAACTGTACAGGTAAAATAAGTTTTTGCACTGTATTTAGGATTCAAGTATATAACTCATTATAATTTCTAAAATTATACATATGAGTATTATTGTAGTATAATGGAAACTTCTTAAATAAAACTTGAAAAATAAGAAATGGATATTGAGGGCAAATATTTGTGAATTCTTGAAAATAGAAAGAAAATCCACTAACTTGGTATAGGTAGAAAGAGTTAGTGTATCTTTTGCTTCTCTGATAAATCTGTAAAGTAATATAGTCAAAATCTTACATATTTCATCACATACCTTCAAGCCAAGCATCGCTCCTGAATCTCGAGGCACACTTCCATCTTTCAGACGCTTATTTAATAAAATACGACCAATTAAGCGATCTCCATCTTTCGATGGCTGCCATGTCACGGGGTGCTGACATTGCATCAAAAGACAAAGAAAATTAATGTTCTTTTATGACAAGTGACCCTTTATTGTACAATCTCTTTAAATGCCAGGTTGCCATAGTACTATGATTACACAAACCAGTTTGCATTCAAAACACTGATCAAAAAATGTTTTTTTATGCCAATAACCTGAATTTTATTATCTTGTTTTTTCAAAGTCAAATTACTTCAAATCAAATTCTTACAGTCTTTTGACACAATCCTGAAGTTATATAGTTTTACAAAGTCGAAGAAATCTTGAAAGTATGTTCAAACCCTAATTTAATAACATATATGTTGAAGATTAATAAAATCAAGGTAGGAAAAAACCCTAAAATTCTATAAAAGTAAACTCATTTAAAAATGAAAATTTAATCTTCCAACACTTTTGGAAAACTGTGAGAGACCTTATTACAATAAAAGTTAAAAGGTCTAATTTTATAAAACACTAAAGTCAAACCTCTGATGAGGGGCTTTTCTTGAAATAGGTTTCTAGATTAAATTTACAAGAAACACACATGCCCCAAATAACTTCCCAACTGATTCCGGGAGAACTACGCCTGTTTCAAAGGTGGGCATAGATTACATTTCTCACTTTTTAGAGGTTCATTGATTCCTTCAGGTCTTTGATCTAGTTAGTAAGTTGATTTTTATTGGCTAATTCCATGGTACCCATTGTTAAATATAACCTTTAAAATATTAGTTTATCTCTTTCTCTGGGCAGAACCAATCCCTTTAGAAATCATGACACCATTCCATTCCATTATGAATTATATGTCAAATAACAAAGTCAATGATTTGTGTAATCACATTTCACAGTTATCTTAAAGTAACATGCAGATCTTCATGCAAAATTTAGCAGGCAAAAGACAGGTTCCAGTCAGTCACATCTATATGGTAACAAGATTTTAAAAGTCGCACTACGCTAAAAGCAAAAATAATAAATACCAAAGCAGATGGCAATGGTTCTGATACTAATTAATGCTACATTGAGATGCTATGACAATAAAACAAAAGAGCAAAATGACAGTGAAAGGGAAAAAAGAAAAACAACTTTTTCTGTGCAAATAGACCCAATTATCTCCCTTTTGCCTGGGATTCAAACTATTAACAATTTTTCATCCCAAGGAAAATGTATGCAAGCAATCAAATAAGCCAATCCAAGAAATTCTTTGTATTTGTAGTTTATAATAACATTACAAAAGTCTCTCATGCGACCATAGACAAAACATTCCTTTGTTCCTAATTTTTATTTCATTTACTTATTTTTTTTTATTTTTTTATTTTTTTGGTATGCCGTCAAACAACAAAAACAGCAAAGCAAGCAAGAAATTATTTTGATTTGTTTGTTTTGGTTTTGTTTTTCTTTTCTGCACCTTAAGAAATGCTACATTGACCCTTGAAATGCCCTGTTCTTTTATTATGTTCTGTTTGAATGAGTGACAGAGAGCAAACGAAGACCGAATGAGCAGGTTTCAAAGGCAGGCTCCACAAATCTCAGTACCTTCTCGCTATGGCTATGCTCCTCGTTAAGGGTTGTGCTACTACAGGTATCTACCCCAGAGTCCTTAATCTGAGGCTCGGACCATTCCAAATCCTCTTCCAAAGAGTGGCCACCAAAGCACATCATTTTCTTTTGTCTCTCAGACCTGGTGTTAGAGTCCGACAAAACTGCCTGCTCACTAGTTTTTCTTTTTCCCTTTTGACTGTCCCCTACAGGTGTGGGATCAAAAAAAAAAAAAGATACAAAAAAGAAAACATGCAAAAGTGTAAATTAAAAAAGGAAAAGTGAAATGATGACAGAGATTCAATAGTAAGGCCCCACTTGTCTCACCAAAGACATTGGGGATGCCTCACTGCTATGCCAAGACGTATGGTTGTAATCCATGTTGTAATCCATGTCTCCTGTGAGAGTCGGACAGACAAGAGAGTGTAGTAAAGGAGACGGCGAGAGAAAGGACAGACAAAGGCATCATCAACATTTTAAACTCTGTGATACTGTCCGCTTTCAAGGACTCTGTCTCTAATACTCACTACACATATCAAGAGAAAGCTAGGATTCCAAATGATTAAAACTTACAGAATGTAGAATATCAAGTTTATGATCCCTAGACAGATCCTACAGAACGCAAATCCTAAAAGAAGAGAAAAGGCTAATAATAAACAGAAATGAAAAAAAATACATATTCTGAAAAAGAAAAAGACTATCGGTTATGTCTGTTACTCATGCTATCTTTTTCATGCTGGTTTACAGACATGAATTATTCTCCAAAGAGTAAAGGACATTTTAGAAGTAGTGGTTTGCCAATAACCACTATAACCAAAAGCCAAGCAATTAAATGTTGTTCCTGGAGTGTAATACAATATTAGTTTTAATGCTGAAACCTCCTAAAAATATTTAGTGGATAAAATAAAAGGATTGCTTACACAAAAGAATAGTTGTGTATGAAAGTGACAAAAGAGATGCACTCAATTTCTATTAGTAAAAATAAAAGAAACCTTACTTTTATTATGAATTACTTATTATTGTGAAATAATTTTCAACTTTTTCAGAAATTACATTCTCATAAAATGAAAAATTGAAATAATTTGTCAGATAATTTGTGTAACTGACAACTAAGAATGAGTATCTACTTCCCATGCTTATATGCTCCTTCTTTGAAAAAGGATTTATGTTTAGACTATATGTGCACATATATCTTTCTAAACTCTATTTATACTTTCACTTATTTAAAAGTATTTACTAATCCCCTTCCATTTGCTATGTAGGATTTATGTTTAGACTATTCTGGAAAAGAAACGTTTTTAAAAACTATATTTATGGGGAAGGGTTTAAAAGTATTTACTAATCCCCTTCCATTTGCTATGCATTGCGCTAAGCTCTAGTGTATGGGGTTAAAAGATGAGACATACAACAGAGTGGAGATAAACACAATAAATAAATAAGTCCTCAGTGTCACATAGGAAATGACAAGACACCGAGAGAGTATAATAATATCTAATTTAAATTTAGGGGTCAGTGAACACCTCTAAAGAAGTGATGTTTAAAGATGAGAACTGAAATATGGGGCCTACAGGACACGTAAGGAGATAGGCAGGTGGAAAGCAGAGGAAAGAACATTCCAGGAATAGCATGGTCCTGTGAAAGAACTGCTAGGACACCTGTGTGTCGGAACCCAAAGGAATGAGGGCAAATATAATGCTCCAGGAGACTGGTGAGGCAGCACCAACCAGCTTAGCGGGGCCTTTTTATGCCACATGAAAGACTGAATTTCATTTCTTGAAGGACTTTAAGTAAAATGGTGATAGAAACTGATTTACATTTTTAAAAGATGAATCTAATAGAGATTGAATTGGATGACACCAAGAGTTAAAAGGCATTTGCAATAATCCATGGGACAGGTGATTAGGGCTTTAACAAAGGTGTTGGCAACAGATGTGATAAGAAAAGAGGAAACTGAGAGGCACTTTGGAGGTAGAATTAAGGTTTAAGAATATTACTTGGAAAATATTTGTAAGAATGAAGACTCATGCCTGGCTGGCATGGTTTAGTGGTTGAGTGTCGACCTATGAACCTGGAGGTCATGGTTTGATTCCCGGTCAGGGCATATGCCCGGGTTGCAGGCTCGATCCCCAGTGTGGGACATGCAAGAGGCAGCCAATCGATGATGCTCTCTCATCATTGAGGTTTCTATCTCTCCCTCCCTCTTCCTCTCTGAAATCAACAAAAAATAAAAAAGACTT